AGAAGGAATGAAATAATAATGGAATTCCGTATGATGATTAGAATAAGGACAAGGTGTGAATGCATCTACGCTGGTGAGCTTGATTCTCAACTAAAATCATCTACATTCTCTTGTCATTCGAATCCACGCTGGGAAGCCTACACTACCATATACGGCTCAGATCAACTGTCAAAGACCTGTTGGACAGAAGCCATGTTTTAATCTGGTCAATTTTAAGCTTTCTTCATCACCAGACTGGTTTGGTCAAAATTGTGCAACGCAGACGCTAAGTAGGCGTGCATGAGTCGACAAAGCTTCACAACCTCGTCAACCGACCTTCCTGTTTCACAGAAAACCCTACGTCTAACATCTACATTATTGACATGACGGGATCGTGACAAATTACCTATCCCACGAAAACGATGGTGGTTGAATGTCTGAGGCCCTCACATCTCCTGTACCTTTAATGGCTATGTTTCACAGTCGTAACATTTGATAGAGCAAACTGCAGCTCAATACACTCAACCTTTAATAGACAATCGGATATCACGGCGACTGCGTAAATGGTGCAATTTGGCAAAGGCTAATCTAGCCCTTTGTATCCATGCAGCGATTTAGTCGGCCACTGGTTCACCAGAGCTGATCTGACTAGCAAGCAAGTGAAGTGATCGGTACACAACCGCTTCACTGCCATTGTCAAACAAGTCACCAGCATAGACTACTTGTGGTGCAAAAATTTGCATTCCGGGGGTAAGAAACGCATCCTAAACATTATCAAACTGCCACTAAAGCTCTTCATCTTGTCAGTATCTTTAATTCATGTAAAATCAGATGAGGAAACATAGACCATTGTAAGCAGGTCTATGACGAGTAGACATCCTTGATGGACATCAAACAAGCCACAAAACTCACCAGATAACTCATCAAGAGCTCTTATATCATAGTTGTTCGGATAAAAAACCTTCAACAAAATGGATTCACCCGGCACTTGTGTCAGTGAGAGACACTTTCATGAGACATGTCGATCGACAAAATGGAATGCCACCTTCAGGTCAAGAGATACACCTAGTATCAGGTGCCAGTGGATACCTGCATTTCAATACCTGACACAGAACAGATTCCTGGCCAGTGAATCCACGACCAGATGTGAAACCAACCTACTTTTGTTTCCTTTGCTGTTTCTCAGCCCCAAGTAAACGTCTGGTAATTATAGAACACTGGATCCAAGACACTATGTTAGCCGAATTGATTCCCTTGGGGCTATTACAAAAGGACCCGTCCCATTCCTAAAAACGTGGATTATTGATGGTTGAGGGGATCATAAATAACTCTCATATGCCAGCTAACATTTCGGTTAACGTGACCACCAATCTCCCACCAATGTCCTTAAATTCCCTCAGTACTAGCCATATGACCCTGCCACCCTTCCGTGTTTCAGGTCACTTACAGCCTTATCACTTCTGCGAATGATAGAGGTCCTATCTCAGTGTTGCTTTCAAGATCCGATTGGATAACGGGCAACCGAACAGCACGTGGAGGCCATCTAAACTGTTCCTCAAAGTGTTGCCCCCATCATTCCAGTCATCTTCCCTTCGACTGAATCGCACACTGATCGTCCTCTGCTATTATCACACCAACTACTGACCATTCTGACTCGGTTTCCTTGATCCATCTAAATAACTGCCTGCAACTGCCTATTATCACTCATTTTCCCATCCTTTCACTGTTTGCTACCCACAGCTGTTCATGGTCGTCGCGTAGACTTGTCAGGCTACATTTGAGTTGCTTCCGCTATTCATTGTGCTCGGAGCCCACAGAAATGTGTTCGGGTGCATCCATAGATTCAAAAGCTGCTGAAATCCACTGACTGTTTCTAACATCTTTCCGAGAGTTATTTACTGTCCTTAGCACTGTTTTTCCTGGAGATAACACCAGAACCGTTCCATATGAATCACATCGTCCTGCTTCGATAACTGTCTAGTTAGTTTCTGGCTTGAAGCGGACGTGGTATCCTCACTGTTGAGCTTCACCTGAAAAGGTCTCATTGCTTTAGCTGTCATATGTCCATTTAGGTGCGAACATGCGTGATCACTGTCCGAACACGTGTTCCAGAAGAAAAAAGCAGTTTTGTGCTAACCGTATCCAGAGATAATTGATAGCATTATGGTCTGCCTGTGCCCACCGTTGAGGTCAAGTCGGTGAACGTAACGTCGGGCGATGTCTGTCTTTATTTCTAAATTTTGTGCTGAGCGAAAATGGATGGTTGTTCGATTGAAGATATCAAAGAGATGACGTCAAATTTCCCCATACCTTTTTGAACTCAATGTGCCATTCAGTCGAACAGGGAGGGTACAAGAGCACAGTGCACTTTTTACCTTATCACTTGATACTATACCTACGCCTGTAGGAACTAGCCCCTAAATCTCCAGAAACTCAAAGAGTAAGGTTTATGGATTCATCATATTGCCCAAGTGAAGTTGTGTAGACATCAGCACTCGGATTCACTATGCGTCTCAAAAACTTGGCACATGTCCATAGCATAAGTAGCAGGAGTTTTAACTGGCGAAGCTTATTGGGCAGTCTGACAGGGGTGTTGATAGTTAAATCTCCAATGTATAGTTTACAAAGAAGTTTAAGTAGACCCGTGGAGCTGCGACAAACTTAAGATGAAGTAAAACTGACCAGGAGACGTGACAAAGTATTAGAAGCCACAGACGCGGAAGGTTGAAAATGGTGTGAATGAACGTAAGTGGTGACAATGTGAAGACAGTAGACACTTTCCGGCTGCCTAAACCATAAAAGATTATCTCTTCTCGAGGTGTATGAGAAATTGGACCACAGAGCAGAAGGAACACCTGTTCGAGGCTAGTTATACATGGCCTTTTTGGAATTTCGAGGTTAAGCTTTGGTTGGATGATGATCAGCTAAAAAATTCGTATCACCACCACCATCATCGTAGTAATGTGGGACAGAGAGGAGTGTGCTGTTTTGGGAGGCCAAACTTACTAACTCCTCTTTATGTGGGGAAGACAGTATCAGCATGATACCGCTTATCATCCATGGTGAACACCTTACCGGTGTTACACCACATCCAGCCAGCAGCATAACTTCGTCCTCGGAAGGCCATCATACCGTAGCAATTTAAACTATAACGGTAACTGGTATGGTAGAACCTGAAGGGAACAAGTGGTTTCACCAACATCGTTTACTGAATCACCGCGAAATGCACGCACAACCACAAAGTTAATGTAACAACTATCGGTCAAGAAGGCTCCCAAGACTAAGGAAAGGTTTTTTAGTGGTGTGGGGTGATAGAGAAACAGAAAGGTTTGAATACCAGACTTTTTTGTGCACATGCATACACAACATGATTTAGAACCTGGTATAAAAACTCAACGCTTCAGTATGCATAAGTTAGCATTATCATTCAAAATGCCAGTACCTGGAAACCTTGAAACGGTCAAAACTATATGGAGAGATAAAGTATGATGATGATGACTGAGCCGTTCAACAGCTTAGCTATGACTAGGAGTAATGGATTTGTGCCAGTTAAGATGTTTGGTTTCGGGTGAATATAAACAACCAGTGATTCTCAACACCACGAGGAATTCATTCATGCAGCCCACAAGGGTCGAACTAGAAATTAGAAACTTCATGAGGCAGCGTCATTCAGGAATGAGCAACTACAGCTTTATGAGTTTCAGTCTACAGTGTTTTATAGCTACAAGTACTGCTTGTTTTGTTGGACTTAGTAGCTAGGATAGCGTTTGATGAACGTCTTAAAAATGTCAAACATGTGAGGAAAAAACCAAGTGTCAAGGAAGTTAAGGACTAACCGTAAGCCAAAGTACAAACCAAAAGAATTACTCCATTTTCATATGAAGTAAAAGAATATCCCAAGACAATTTTCAGATGAAAGGATAGCGGTAGTTTTAGTTTTTTGATGTTTAACAAAAAATTATGAACCAAGAGTTGATACGATCATAGTAAAAGTAAAGGTTAAAGTTTATTTTGCTCGCGTAACTGCAGCATCTCCATGCCCATATTAAGGGCTTTTGCAATGCAAAACAGACTGAAGAGTAACATTTTCGTAAGATTTATTTCCACAGTGCAAATGACTCAGAACAAAGAACCTATTGTAATGTCATAGGGTACTGACAATCGCATTTTAAAAAGACCCACACTGGCCACCTCTTTCAGCGGCACAGAATAATGCTATCAAATGTTTTTGCAGAAAACAGGTACTGAATGATCAGTATACGTAACACGTGAACTGATTTACATACACTGGAGTAGTTATGAGAAAGCCTACGTTTTTCCGATTGTGTTGATTTATGGTTAGTTCTCACCTTTCCTAACAAGTGGTTTTTTTCGCGCGTTTAAAACTGCTATGGTTTTCATCAAATGCAATTTTTCCTACTAAATCCAAAGAAATAAACAATATCTGTTGTCACAAAATACCGTTGGCCGTAACGTACAGAATATCGACCGTACAGTCAAAGGACGAAAACGTCTAAATAAAGATGTCTTCACTGAACTTTTAATTTTTATGAAAGCCTCGTCAGTAATTTCGTTATGTTACTGAATTCCAACACAGAATCATTTGTACTTGCTTTATAAGAGAATTAGTTTGCAGACAACTGTTTGCAGTTACTGTGGAATTACCAAATTGAGAGTTCTCATGGCTCTGAGAACTGAATATCACAATACACAGATGTCATCAATTTCCTTACACTTCTGTACATATAAATGTAATAACAGTGAATCCAGTTACGTAACTTAATGAAGGTTTCAAAAATGCAAGATAAAAACGGTTTATCGGTGAGTGTGAGTTCAGAAAATGTACTATGAAGGGGACAAAAAAGCAATACTAAGGATCAAACATTTCGCGAAATAATAATTCCTTAAATAAAATGTTTTGGAGTACAATGGTTAGCCCATTGAATATATTCGGCCACGACACAATGTCAAGACAAACACACACATCCTCAAAACTATGAAATGCGCGTAAATTCACTTACTTTTATTATAGGGTACAGCGGCAGGTAGTATATCATCATAGCTGTACAAGCCTCAAAAGCTGAACGGATGCAAATACAACCCAGTAAGTTAACCATTTCGTGTCATCTTCTTTCTCATGAGTTTCTATGGCTTTAACTCTGATACATTTAACAGTTTTATTCCAATCACTCACGACTGATATGCAGGATAAACAGCTCCTATGAGCAGAGTAAGTACATCAGTTCCATATCCAACAACTAAGTATAAAGTGAACAGAGCAATCACTCCTTTTAAATAATTATAATCACACTATACCATAAGCTATTTTCAATTTGGCTATGCCTGAGCGCTGTTCACACAAGCACAAGAAGTCAGTGACAATATTCTTTTTCTCAAGCGACTCTGCAAACCGACTTTGATAGAACCGTAGTTTCTCCATTGCGCTTTTTTAAAGTTCATGCAAAAGTGATGCAACTAAACTACAAAGAACCTTCAATATCCAATATCTTTTGCCGAGCTAGTGTAAACTAATTGGTTTTTTGTACTCTCTTCTAGGTCCTGCGAAACAGTTCCAGGTCTTTAGTGGATTCCAATACAGCTGGTCTACCCACTCAGCTGCTGTTGCTGTGGCTAGCTGAACGGACGGTTGGTTGTTGGTTAAATTTGTAGGGAGTATGTGATGTTTTTTTCCATGGGCTGTCCAACATCCAGCACTTATAGTGCAAGTAGAGGAAACCTTTAGTTTTTGAGCTCTCACTTCTAGGTCTTGAGGCTTGGTTCTTTTTGTTCAGTTGTACTCCTTCGATGGTCGCAGAAGTCTGCGTCTTCCTGCTCATAGTTTTGAAGGCACTGACTGCCTTTTTGAGGGTATTTCATTCACAAATTGTAGCTTGGTTTGTTAAGGGGGGCGACGGAGCTGCTGATGAGATCAATCGACCGTTTGCAATTCCTCTTGTTGTGGGCACCTGCAGATGTAGGTGATCGTAGCAGGGTGGGTGGGGAATGAGAAAAAGAGGAGTGAAAAGAACTTGTGAAAAGATAAATGTAACTGATAACACTATGGAGGGGAAATTCGTCCTATTGCAGATACTAGGGTTGGTGAATACAAGGGTGAAAGTGTGTATCACCAGTTACTACTGACAAATGTTCGTGGTAAGCCATTTGCGCTCCCATACTCACCCAGTAGTAGTTTAAGGGAGTTGACTGATGTGGCTGTGGCCACTTCCTTCGGTAGAGCGTTCTTTAAGGCATGCACTCTGTAGGAGAAGAAGTTAGACCCCACTCTCGTCTTCGCCCTATGGTGGGGTATGCGAGCGGGGTTCCTACAGAACTATTGGTTTTGGACCGGTAACGTTGTCCCATTTCGGTGGTCCACTTGGTGAATCATCTTGTGGGCTGTTATCAAGTAACTTCGTTTCCCTCGATAACTTAATGTGAACAAGCTAAGCAGGTTGTCTGAGGCGTTGTGCATATGTTTCGCCTGTTAGTCCAATAACCAACTTTGTTGCTCTTCTCTGTACCTTCTCGAGAGTATTTGCGTCTTCCTTTAGTAGTATGGGGGGCTATCGCGTTGAACACCTCTAGGTGTGGTCTAACAAAGGTTTTAAATACCATAAGGAACAATCCTGAGGTTAACGATCCAAGCTGTCTTCCTAGAAGGTGCATAATGGCGTTAGCCTTCGATGCCATTCCCTAATGAATACCGGTAGTATCCAGTGTGTCAGAAAAGTCTAGTCCTAGGTCCTTCCCTGTGGATACTTTGGTGATTGCATACTTGTTAACAGTGTAGCCGATTTTCACCGCCTATGGTGTGAGAAGATACGTCGCCTTGCATTTCTCCAGATTAAAGCTTAGGCCGTCTTTACGGCCGACCAGGACTCCAGTTACAACAGGTTGTTTTGGAGTATTCTAGGATCCTCTTCATCACCCACCGTCCTCCATATTTTGATGTCGTCGGCGAATAGCGGGAGAGGAGAGGAGATTTTAACGGGGAGGTCATTTATGAATAGTAAAAATAGGAGTGGCCAAAGGATCGCCCCTTGAAAATCTGCTGTTCTTGCATTCCTCCAAGTTGATAGAATGTCTTGCGGACAAGAACGGTGTACGGGATCGCGTCAAAGGCCTTGGCAATATCCAAGAAAATGATATGGACAGGACTTTGGAAGTCCGAGTATGCCGTCCACTTATCACCGGCCGCCATATTGCTTGAGGCGCATGATCTACCCTTTGCGAAACCATGTTGAGCATCACTTGATGCTCCCCTCTTTTCAAGTAGTCTCTGACATGGCCGTCTACCGGGTTCTCCATCACTTTTGGCAACACTGGCAGAATGGCTAAGGGTCAATAAAATTTTGGGTTCTGCCTGTCTCCTCCTTTGGAGATAGAGGACGGAGTAGCACGTCTCCACTCTCGTGGAAGCATGTGATTGTCTAAGGGGTTCTGAAGCAGCTAAAGCGGCGGGTTGCTCAGGACAGCCGAGTAATGTTTCAAGAAAGCCAGCCGGATTTCATCGCCTCCCGGTGATTTCCCTACGCGGAGCTCTAGGTCTTTAAGAGGGCCATAGGAGGGGTTACTTTTATTCCAAGTAACTCTACTGCATTTGGTGGTGCTGAGTGCTGGTGGGGCAGTCGGCAGCTTTGGTTGGATGGGGACGGGTTCAGTTGCGAGTTGAAGGCAGCGCTAAAGGCTTCGGAAACCTCTATCCCAGTGAGGTTCTCTCCGCTCAGGCCTTTCAGAATGCAAGCCCATTGGCTGGTGGATTTTCTGCTCGCCACAAACCGATATAGGTTTCCGTAGTTTGCCTCGAGCTCCTACGCAAGGTTCGTCTGGAACAACCCCCTGTCTCCCCCCACCTCTGTTTTGTATCGATTTCTCATGGCCATGTACGCCGAGCGGTCAGACCCTTTTCTGGAGGTCCTTCACTTGTGCCATGCTTTCCCCCTGGATTTCAAAAGTCGTTCGGTGCCTCGCTTCAGCCATGAGGTGTAATGCTGTGATTGCTCGGACGTTTTCAGGGAAAACCCTCTTCATCAAATCTCTAATTAGCTCCCGACAATGGTCAATTGAAAGGTTACTCCACTCCTGAGGCGATGATGTTGCGGGAAGATACTGGTTCACCTCCACATAGTTTGCCCCGCTGCGGCAAAGACAAGGGTGAGATCCTTCCCATGACAGTTGTTCGTTGAACACCAAGGCAAACACTACCACGCCGTGATCGTTGCTGCCAAGAGGGTTTGAACCTGAACGTTTTCAGCCGGCAGATGGTAGCTGGTAGAAAGGTGGTTCAGTTTAGACGGTATTCCGCCTGACCTCCAACCAGCGTCACCAACAACGTTCTCGTGGATAGTGTTGAGTGAGTTTTGGTCGAACCTTCGGGCCGAGGTCCTCTTGTCCTTTCCGAGATTGAGAGCTAGAGCACTGAAGTCTCCGGCTCCATGTCGCCTGTAAGAGTTCTGTAGACGCCCCCCACCCGGTACTCGGTGTATCCAACTGTAAAGTGACACCAGATGGAGTCTTGGAGCCCTGAAAGTAGAGTTCCAGTCGCTCGTTCATTTTTAAGGTGGTCGCCTGTAAGCATTGCCAACCCACCTCTCCCCTCAAACTCCCCGTCTCTCTTAAACAGATGCACACCGTCTATACTCGTTTCAACGTCACTAATATCCGATGATAGCCAAGTTTCTGTCAGGATCGTCATCTTTGGAGTAAGGCGGAAACAGAGGGGTCGTAACCCCCCCATCCTAATTCTAAATCCTCTCATATCGCTGCAAGGATGCCCGGATATGTTCCCAACAACATAGGGTGTCTTGGTAGTGGCAAACTGAAGGGGGCCGTGAGCAGCGGTGAAACTTGCCACACAACAGCGAGCTCCAGTGGAACCGGCCTAATCATGTTTTTTCCCACAGCGGTTTTTGGGGACTTCATTGGGTCTAGGCTGGTTCGGATATCCTGTCTGGTGACACTAATGGCGACCTCGGCACTAGGCCAGGCTGTCGCTTGCCGTTATCGCGGTGCCTTGGGTCCAGCCTCGCAGCATCGAACGATCCCGCTGATGTTATCTTTAACTGCCTACCGTGTTTGCAGTACTTTAGTCAAAAGTCCTGGACACTGAAAGTTAATGGCCATCAACCTGGGTGATGCTATCATTGCCAAATATGAGTGATGTGACAGTCTGCAAACCACCGCCACCGCTATCCCATCTAGCCCTATCCTCGCTGATAACCACTGCCGTTGTTGGACTTCGTAAACGTACGTCTTTAATAATGTGCTGGTTGCTAGTTCCAGCACTCCAGGAACAACCACGGTTGTTGGTTCCAGTGGGTGGGGTGCCTCGCGAGATACTATTCTCGCCGACCAAGGCTAGTCTGGCCTGGCCCAAATGCTAGGTGACCGGTTGATGGCTAGTGTATGCGACAGCAACAAGAATCCTCTTCCTTGGCCGAGCCCAGCGTCCCCATCATCGGCGGGGCTTTCCGTGGGGTCAGAGGGTGCCTTTGCAAAACTGGCGCGGTTTTGCTTCATAGCTGTCTAGTCTCAGTATGGTGCACATCGTCTACCATTGCTGTTCATCAAAGGACTCTCTGTTCTCAAGAAGGCTGTCGTGGGACACTGAGACGCCGGATAGGATGACGGAACTAGACCTGCCATCAATATCTCTGTTGTCGCGTACTACGAGTGGGTTTTTATGGGAAGGGTGCGCTTACCCTTCCACCTTGACCCATTTTTCCCGACGTACAGTGGGAGTAGCCTTTAAGTTAGCTTCAGGGCTACGGAGTTATGTAGTTGGTAGCATGCCTGATAGTCGTTTCGGTCTTTTCGGAATATTCACAGGTGTGACTGCCGAGGGGACGGTGCTGACACTCTTGTCCCTTGGACCTGGGGCAGTGGTCTGTATGGACGCCCCCATCATATTAGCCACTGTGGTCTTTTATGACCTCCCTCAACGAGCCTGTAGAAGAGAGTGGCCTGATACGGCCCCGAGGGAAAATATGACAGAACCATATGCATGGGTAGCGCGCCATGAAGGCGTAATATTGGCCCGGTATGTCTCCATCACACATTATGTACCCGCTTACTGCAGATGTTACACTCCAAAGCAGTATCCCGTTTGGCTACGGTG